CTCCGTCAATTTGTATTTGTAAATTCGCATGCCATACTATAAATACCAGATTACAAAAAAATGAACGTAATTTACTTTAAAACTAATTATTTGTTTCTGACATCAGAGGGTTTACAGAAATCGTCGACTGCCTATCTCCATAGAGCTTCGAACAGAAATAGCTAAATTTGCAATGATATCCATCATATTTTTAGCCTTAATGAGGTCACTCACACTCTGTAAACTACTTTCTGATCCTCCAGCTTCAGTTCGTCATATATGGCTAAAGTAAAGTTTCCATTCGTTAGCAAAGTAGAAAAGTGAAGAAAAGCCAGCGCCTTACTACAGTGGGCGTCTCTGATTTCGGAGGGCTTTTGATCAGTTGGCCGAGGATCCAGGAGAAGTTCACCGATGACTTTCCCTTGCGCTGTTCGCGGCATAAAAGCATTTGGATATGTTCGGTTTCGCTATCGGTCATTGCACAACGATGGTCGGCCCAAGAACGGCGTTTCGTTGCCCGAAGCGTGTCTCCGCGGACATTGATCTTGTCGCTCTCAATGCGGTTAAAATCTTTAACCAATGCTCGCGTGGCCTTTGCCATATCCGCTCCTGGTTTTCCTTGCTGAAATTGGAACTTAGATTTATCCGAAGCTGGGATCAAATCCGGAGGAGGAGATTCTGTCGCCTGATCGACTGCTAACACCGACGGCTGCGTCTTCATGTTAGCCATGCTCACATTTGCCGGATCTTTACCGCTTTCGCTTTGGCACCCACCACCATCTTCCGACTTCACGAAAAGTCCGGTTCTGCGCTCTACCAAATCCTGAGATGCTGACTGCTCAGCGCCGTTGACCACTACCACCGATGTTCCATGACCACCGATTGACCCACATTCCTTGATCGAGTCGACTTGTAATGCATTCGACTGAAAGCAGGAAGGAATGATGGCCGAATCGGCAACCGCCGAACCAGTACTACAACAAGCTAAAGTCTCCTCCATGGCAGCAAACGCAGTAACAAAGCCTTTGGAACTGCGGTATTCATCCGGTCCCAAAGAATCCGGGTTGTCACC